CTGTAACAGGACACAGAAATGTAGGTCAGGTTAATTACTTTTATGTCATCCATTATTCGTTTATTGCACACTTACAAATAAATGTGTGACTCTCCTTTTCTGACGCTCTCGGAGGCAAGCACCCCCGAACGCTAGCTCTGTCTTAAGGAATGGATTTCCCCCCTTTCTTTTGCACATAAAAGCAATGATTATTTCTAATCTATAATTAGACTGGAAGAAAGTCAATGGGTTACTCAATATATTGTAAGAATGGCAGTGCAGGCAGAAGGTTGCAAGTCTTGGGGCCATACATAGCAATCACCACTGTCATGATCACTGTCTACATCACGCGGTGCTTTCCACCCTGGCCAGGGATTTATGGGAAACTGGCAATTATGACATATGTCCAGCTATTGCTAGCTGCAGATTTATCCCTGTGGTCCTTTTCTGTCTAGCATATTGCCTGAGCACAAACCAGGCAGGAGGAGCACTTATTCTTGCAAAGCTTTAATAATCTGTGAATGGCTGACTACAAACTGATGTAGAGCACTATCATTCCACCAGCCTCACGAAATTGCCGGCCACAAATAGTAATTAATCTTTTTATCCCTCAAATTGTAATTTTGACTATGAACTGTGCGCAGCCATAAATCAGCGGCACACGCGCTGTGTACAGTGCATGAATCATGGCCGGGACTCCGTCCGACTGCACACTCTGTGTTTAACAAGCTTTATAAGGAGCCATTGGGCTTTATTATGGCTTCGCGTGACTCCAACAAAAACTGAGCCCGGAGGCCCGGGGACGTGAGTTAAGATGAAAATACTTATTAGAGTACATTACTTCTTGATGTAGATATCGTTTTCCGTGGAGTAACGCCACGGTGCATGGCGCGACATAAATCAGGGGGTTTTCTGAGACTAATAGGACCTGCCGCCATCTATTCATTACGCAGCCCACAATTTGGGCCATCACTCATTAGTCAGCATGTAATTTGATGATTAACACCACCCAACTCAGCAGGTCTGCAAGAGTGCGGGGAACACAAAGGCGCCGGCTTCGAGGAACGAGGTTAGAGGCTGCCTTTGAAAGTGCTCTCTGAAATAATTGGTCACCGCTTTTCCTCGAGCGCTGATGTCAACACCCATGGCGGGTCTCGGACGCGCCGGGGCCGGAAGACTCGCACGCACACTCAATAACACACCCGTAAGTTGAGGGCCACAATATGATCTGACATTCCATCATACATCCCAGAGACAAAGGTCCGCACAGGAATGTGAAGTAAGACATTTTCTTGTTAATAAAGCATTGATCCGACGTATTGATTTTACATGACATGGCTTTTGCTGCGATTTTGCCCTCTTTTTTCTTTGCAAATAGTAAAGCTCTTCAGAATGCCTCGGCGTATGTGACATGGCAAAATTTCTAACTCTCTGTGATGTAAATTCTATATGTGTAAAACCACTTCATAATCAAACCATTAATCATCAGAAGCTGTCAGCGTTGACTTGGGGGACAATTTGTCATGTCTCTGCCCGGGGCCAGGACAAGGGTGTCAAGGCGGAAGTGCCACACCGGCAGCCGGGCGGATGGGCCTCACCCAGCGACTTGGCCCAAAAAGGATTAGATAAAGTATTACATTTCTTGATGAGGGAACAAAAAGGGTGGCCCACTGTGCATTTCTAACGTGTCAGGGTTTCTCCTCTCTCCCAGCTAATCACCATGACTGTTTGACTTAATGAATCGGCCTGATGAAAGGTGATCAGAAAAGATAGATGGGCGGCCACTATTGATTTCATGCAAATGGCCCTGACAGGTGATGGACGCTTTAATGCAAGCTTTCAGAAGCTTTATGACTTGTAATAACCATACACTCTCATTCTGGGAGAGACATTTTCCAGTGTTTCAGTTGAATTGATAATTCTCCTTCTAGGACGGAAAATATTTCAAAGCAATATAAATAAGAGGCTACCTTTCACCTCCCACCTCGGCCCAGAGAGCGTTCACATCTCGAGTGCACCGCCAGGATCGAGCTCTCGGAAGAGGCCCTGCCGCCGCGCCCCCAGAGGTCCACCCCTCGACCCCGTTCCCCGCCAGGCCGGGCGCCACAAAGGGCCCGGGCAGGCGCCGCGGGTGCGGCCTGAAATCCCATCCGGGGGGCTCAACTCCTGGACGCCCGATGAATTTAACATTGGAAGAGTTAGAAAAAAATGGCCCTCGTCCTGCGCCTCCGGGAGGAGTGGCGCGTGCTCGTGCTTCTGGGAGGTTTCTGATCACCGAGGGTGGGGTTGCTGGCAGCTGCCCGCAGCGGGGCCGGCCCGAGGCCTTCCGAGGGCCCAACCGCATGGAACCCGTCACGCTGCGACTGGCGGGACCGGGAGCCGCGCAGACGTCGCGGGCAAATTCTGCAACTGGAGGAGAAAGCACAGGACCCCGCGCGCACATCTAATAAATCCTCGGCGCGCCGAGTTTACAAGGCGAGGGCCCAGCCGAGCCAGGGCAAGACTCTAGCACGTCCAGTCA